CAGTGCATAAGAACCATAACTATCTAAAGTAATTACAGAGTTATTGCCCTTTGTAACTTTTCCATTGCTTTCTTTTGTCCGGAGTATAACTTGAAGACTAAATGTTGGAATTCATTATAACTGCATTCAATGGTCAAGCACATTGAGAGGAAGTGCAGTGCACAAGAACCATAACTCCATCTTGACTAATTACAGAGTTACTGCCCTTTGTTACTTTTCCATTGCTTTTTTTTGTCCGGAGCATAACTTGAAGACTAATGGTTGGAATTCAATATAACTTCATACAATGGTCAAGCACATTGAGAGGAAGTGCAGTGCACAAGAACCATTACTCCATCTTGACAAATTACAGAGTTATTGCCCTTTGTTACTTTTCCTTGTCCAGAGCATAACTTGAAAACTACTGTTTGGAATTCAATACAACTTCATACAGTTGTCAAGGACATTAAAAGGAAGTGCAGTGCATAAGAGCCATAACTCCATTTTGACAAAATACAGAGTTACTGCCCTTTGATACTTTTCCTTGTCTGGAGCATAACTTAAAACGTACTGGTTGAAATTCAAAACAACTTCATACAATGGTCAAGCACAAAAAGAGGAAGTGCAGTGCACAAGAACTATAACTCCATCTTCACTATTTATAGAGTTATTGCCCTTTGTTCCTTTTATTTGTCTTTCTGGACTTATTACAGAGTAATTCAATAAAACTTCATCAATGGCCAACCACATTGAAAGGAAATGCAATATACAAGAACCACAACTATCTTTAATTGCCCACAACCATAACTGTATATTTCAATTCTTTTACAAGATATTCTGTTACTAGTAACATCCTCATTTCCAAAGCAGTCTTGTGGGGGTATTAATCACATTTAGTGATAGTTTTAGTTTATCCTAAATTTATTTACTTATTCTCATTATAACCTTAACAGAACAAAGAATATCTACATTTAATTTTAAGTGTTAGAATTTTAGTGTTTTCCTTATAGAGTCTGATATTCTTTTAACAGGCTTTTTGTGCCCCCACTTTAGTGGCGGGCATTTAGATTTACCCTTGTCCGTCAGTCCTTCCGTCCGTCCGTTCTCTTTTGTGTCGCACGTTACTCTAAAAGTATTTGACCTAGAGTCATGAAACTGTACAGGAATGCTGATCAGCATGTGTAATTGTGCACTTGGGTATTTTCGTCTGGATATTTTTAGTATTTTTAGAGTTATTGCCCTTGACAAGTTTACAAGAATGTTGGTCAGCATGTGTACTTATGCACCTTGGGGTTTGCTTGTGGATTTATTCAGTATTTGTAACCTAGAGTCATAAGATTGACAGAACAGTGGCGCGGTGGGGGCACCCGTGTCCTATGGACACATTTCTAGTTGTCCATACATTTAGTTGAGTTGTTTTGAAGAGCAAAGTATTAAAATTCTAGTAAATGTTTTATACTTCATGGATATGCCCAGACAGCTTATGATTATGTTATAAATATTAGTTCTATATGTATTCAATACATTTGTTCCAAAAGGGACCAAAGGGCGTCTGTGGCACAGTGGTTGAGGTTGTTGACCTCAAACCACTTGCCACTCAGTGCTGTGGTTTCATGTGAGGAAGCCATCCAGCTTGCTCATGGAACGTCTGTGGTTCTATTACAGTGCCTGTTTGTGCCTGAAATAATGCAAGAAAGGGTGCCTGAAGTCTTCCTTTACAAATAAAGATGGAAAGTCGCCATATGACCTTTACTGTGTTCGCAACCAAAAAAAAAAAAAGAACATGTTTCTGATGCTCATTGATGTTAAATTACAACACTTAGAGTAAGGAAATAGACCCATTAGGAATCTAAGATGTTTGTCTATTGCTTGCATATTTTTTTCCTAAATTGCTCTTGAATGAAAGGAGAAAGTCATTAAATCAACTTTGATAAACTTGAAAAAAATGGTAATATATATGTTTAATTCATGCTTATTTATGTATTACCCCACCCACACCTGGTTACTATTGGTCAATATTTATATATTCTAAATTTTCGAGAAGGATATTTTTATGGGTATTTTGTTAAAAAAATTGTACCAAAGAACATAAATTGGAAGAAATACGTTTGTATATTTCTATGTGTAAAATTATGATTTAATATGTTAAACAAGTAGTTAAAAATGTTATTAAGTGCCTTCATTTTATTTTATTTTAAATCAATGTGTTATTTATTATCTAATAATTGGAGACTCATTTTGTATATATTATCTTATAGAATATAACCTTAAGAATATTATGTTCAGTGTTACTATATATATTTTGCTCCTTAATGTTACTAAGTGTATATATGGAGGATAAATAGAGGATATTTATTTTTTTCTACAAATGCAGGATTTATTTTCATCAAGTGGTGTGAAATATGATCATTTTCATACCACAAGATAAAATCCTATATTTATAGAAAAAACTTTCTGTTTATTACATACATTTTTCTCTTTCTTGTAATTACAAGTTGGAAGACTTCCTCTTAAATTTTGTGTATTATGGCTGAATAAAGAAGAAAGTAGTCCATTAAAACACCTGTTCAAATGCAGAAAATATGTTTCACTGCATTGAAAAATAAGTTTTTACAGTGAAAATACGGAAAATAAAAATACACATTTTATTTCATCAATATTTCATATATTTCCTTTGTAAATATAATATAAATAAAACTGTAGTTACTATAAAGTTACTGACTCCAGCTGAACCAGGAAGACCTTCCTGCTGCAACACAAACTAGACATGTATTCTTTTAAGTTCAAAGCAGGGCAAATTAAATCAGGAAATGAATAAATAAAATGCATTTATAATCATGCAATGTAAAAATGTATTTCCTTTTTAGCTGACTTGGAAAACAAAGTGCTCAAAGGTGAGCTTTTGTGATAGCATGAAGCCTATTGTCTGTACAGGTAGATTTTGACCAAACTTTACAGAAATAATCCTAAGGTGACCATCTATAAAAGGCATATGTATCATTAGGTTCCAGAAATGTTTGCATTGGTCACAGAGGCTAAAATAATAAAGACTAAGAAATGAAAACTACTTCTCAGAAACATCAATGCCCTGAGCATAGATATTAAGGATGCAAACATCACTTTGCAGTCTTCTTCAAAAAGTATATAAATAAGTGCAGCCCCCCTCCCCAGGGTCAAAAATGGCAGCACCCTACGGGTCCATTGTTTAACATAGACATGTCATTGTTGAAACATTGTTTATTTTGTTTCTGCTAGTAAAATTGTTTGAACTCTGAAACATTTTACACTCAGTAGGTGGGTTAGTGTTTTTTTCTAAATAACTTCATAGCGAATTGTTTTTTGAATAAAACTGTTTTGAATTATGACATATGATAAAATTGTGGGAAAATTGTTGCAAATATGAGCTATTGACTGTACATGGACATTTTTCTGTCTGTATTGAAATGTCAGACCCACTGCCGTAAAGGTTATATTTAGATATGTGAAATGATGCATTGTGCATGATTTGTTATTAAATATTGAAAAATGTCAAATGGATATCAAATTACACTGCATGTCATATCATTAAATATGCTGGTTTCAGGTCTATTTCCTTTTATAAAATTAAAAGGACCACTTGAGCTTGAACACTTGCCCCACAATGCTCTTGGTTTGAATCCTGCGAGGGATATTTGATCTAGATAATAGAAAGTTACTTGTGCTTCTCTGATGCCTACTTGACAGAAATAAAGTTTTCATTAAGTTAAACTATACCTCTACAGTTGTCATTAAGTTAAACTTAATACCTCTACAGTTGTCATAAAGTTAAATTTTATACCTCTACAGTTGTCATAAAGTTATGCTTTACCTCTACAATTGTCATAATGTTAAACTTTATTCCTGTACAGTTGTCATAAAGTTAAACATAATACCTCTACAGTTGTCATAAAGTTAAACCTTATACCTCTACAGTTGTCATATAGTTAAACTTTACCTCTGCAGTTGTCATAAAGTTAAACTTTATACCTCTACAGTTGTCATATAGTTAAACTTTATACCTCTACAGTTGTCATATAGTTAAACTTTACCTCTGCAGTTGTCATTAAGTGAAACTTTACCTCTGCAGTTGTCATAAAGTTAAACATTATACCTCTACAGTTGTCATAAAGTTAAACTTTTTACCTCTACAGTTGTCATAAAGTTAAACTTTATACCTCTACAGTTGTCATAAAGTTAAACTTTATACCTCTACAGTTGTCATATAGTCAAACTTTACCTCTACAGTTGTCATAAAGTTAAACTTTATACCTCTACAGTTGTCATAAAGTTAAACTTTATACCTCTACAGTTGTCATAAAGTTAAACTTAATACCTCTACAGTTGTCATAAAGTTAAACTTTATACCTCTACAGTTGTCATAAAGTTAAACTTTACCTCTACAGTTGTCATTAGTTAAGTTTTACTTCTACAGTACTGTTATCTTAAAATTAAACATTAAAAAAGTTAAATTTTATACCTCTACAGTTGTCATAAAGTTAAACTTTACCTCTCTAGTTGTCATAAAGAAAAACTTTACCCCTACAGTTGTCATAAAGTTATACATGTACGAGTTTCAAAGCATTGCATAATAAATAAATAAATCTATGAACATGCAGTAAAGACATGCTTAAAATGATATTTTAATTGTTAAGCATGACTGCAATAGTGGGCAATATATTTTTTTTTGTCAGAAAAACAAGCTGTAATAAATGTTATATTTTTGCATGTGATGATGTTAATATTAGCAGCAGGAACAAATGTTTGAAGGTTTCATGCTTGTCAAATATTTACACAAGAGACCAAATATCAAATAAACTGACATCAGTGTTATGTAAACAGACATTTTCTTTCTTGTGAGTCATGCATGTACTGAATGTTTTACATTTTGCTTTATTCGTAATGATACGATTAAAAGTGCATGCATTTTAAAAGGTGATCAGAAAAATTGTGATTTAAGTCGAGCTTAATTAATAATGATTGTGCTTGTGGTTTATCGTGACTTCTGTTAATTGTAATTTGTTGGGTATAAAGATGCAGGGAACCAGTCAACAATATCTGGCATTTGATTGGTTAGTTCTGAGAAAGGACTTGAAATTGACCAATAGTAACAACAAATGTGCAGGCTGGTCTGGCTAACTATGCTAGTGGCAATGGCTAATTATTTTTGGATCTAGCAGGATACAGGTTAATATATTTTCACTATTTAAGGAAAAGTACGGTTACTTTTTTGCTTATTTATTTGGTTTTAACGTTGATTTTAACACATTTTGGTCATATCTTGGCGGTTGGTTACCCTAACCGGCTAACCAGCTAATGACCAATTTCTCCACAAGTGACAGACTACTTATCCAGTTGATTTTCTGAATCAGCGGTACGAGACAAAAGACAATAAACTCAATGTCTGAGATCAATAATTATTGTCGCTGAGACATTTAACCTCGCCCAAGGATCTAACCAACGACTTGTGGATAACAGTTCAGGAGGCGCTACATAACACCAAATAAAACAATGTATAGTTTATTGGACACAGCTTCATTTTAATGCCTCTTTTAAATAGGACATGCATCGATTCCAAGGAATTTCAAGACAACTTTCCAGTATATTAGAGTAATTGAAAATGTAGACTGGATAGCTTTTGTTACAGATAAGATCTTAATAATTTAATTTAGAGGCTTTAAAGCAAGAATTAACTTGTAATTTGCGAATTAAGATGAAAATAAGGGGATTTATTTCAATGTTTATTTCAAATGTTTCAAGTTTTAGTTTACTTGTTGTAACAAAAGAATGATTAATTTGTTTTTATGGACATCTGGGATGTTTATTAAGACAAAAAGATAGAGAGTATTAAAATTAAAGTCTAGATAATTGGAGGAGAAATGTCTGAGCTACTTTTCACTACCCTACATTTTAGCATTCATGTGTAATATAAAAGGGCCTGAGATAGTTTAAGTCAAATGGTTATATGATTGTTGACTTTGAATAACCTGCCCCTCATTGGTTTGGTTCCCATCCTGCCTGGGACTTGGAATTTGTTTTCCATTTGAGGTAGCTCTCTCTTCTCCTGCCAGATATATTGCATGAAGAGGCAACTGCCACCTTCTACCAGTAGGCTCGAAAGACCCCATATGACTTAAAATTTGGGCATAAATTGTCGCTCTTGAAAAGGGTACAATCTCTAGTGGTTAGAAATTTAGTAGCCAAGACCCTTTTACCTGATATGCAACATCAGGGTTTATGTCTGTTCTTACATCAGTGCTTATATCTGTTCTTACATCAGTGCTTATATCTGTTCTTACATCAGTGCTTATATCTGTTCTTACATCAGTGCTTATATCTGTTCTTACATCAGTGCTTATATCTGTTCTTACATCAGTGCTTATATCTGTTCTTACATCAGTGCTTATAATTATATGTTCTTACATCAGTGCTTATATCTGTTCTAACATCAGTGCTTATATCTGTTCTTACATCAGTGCTTAAATCTGTTTGTACATCAGTGTTTATATAATTATGTTCTTACATCAGTGCTTAAATCTGTTCGTACATCAGTGCTTATATAATCAGTGCTTAAATCTGTTTATACATCAGTGCTTATATCTATTCTTACATCAGTGCTTAAATCTGTTCTTACATCAGTGCTTATATATGTTCTTATATCAGTGCTTATATCTGTTCTTATATCAGTGCTTATATATGTTTTTACACCAGTGCTTAAATCTGTTCTTACATCAGTGCTTATAATTATATGTTCTGACATCAGTGCTTAAATCTGTTCGTACATCATTGCTTCTATATGTTCTTACATCAGTGCTTATATATGTTCTTACATCAGTGCTTAATCTATTCGTACATCAGTGCGTAATATATCTGTTCTTACAACAAATAATTTATGTTTAATATAACAATATACTGGTCGCGGTGCTTCCCCCTCTTCCAATACATTTTAAATTAGATATTTAAATTGTATTTTGTAGGAGAACATTGTAAATTAGATATTTTGTAGGAAGAACATTGTTTGTATCCTTCGTCTTTGAATACTTCAAGGGGTACCCATTGGTATCAAAGATTAGGAACCCTTTTCCAACTAAATGTCCATGACCTTTATAAACAAAATATCGAAAAAGGTATGTAAAAGACGTTTTCGGGTGTTTTCAAATAGACATAATTATAGGCAAAATCAAAACTGTTCAATAGAATTTCTTTAAACATGATATCTTGTTAGAATATGATAATAGAAACATTTTAAGCGAAAAAAAAATTGGGGTCACCGTCCTCAGTTTTTGAGTTATCTGCCCTTGAATTGGACTTTTTTGTTAAATTCAAGGGCAGATAATTTACAATGAAGGGAAACAATACAATATTTTTTTCTTATTTTCATGAAGCTTACCTTCGTTTTAGTTGATATGCAAAATTTCAAGAACAAATTCAGAGTGGCTAGTTTTGTTCCCACTAATTTTTTTAACCTGTGCATTTTTCTTAAAAAATGGCCTATTCTTTAAGTATTCAAAGTACCTTTATTTTCATTGAAAAAAAATAACAGAAACGATGTAAGGAATTGCATGTTATTATGCATTGTACTCAACAATAAAAAGAAAAACATAATCCAGAGGTAAAAACAAGAATTCATTTAAGTATGTAAAAGTTATCTGCCCTTGAAATGACCTCAAATAAGTGGAAAAGTCTGATTCAGGGGCAGATAACTCAAAAACGAGAACGGTGACCCCAAATTTTTTTTTGCTTAAAATGTTTCTGTTATCATATTCTAACAACTTGCCAAGTTTAAAGAAATTCTATTGAATAGTTTTAATTTTTGCCTATATGTCTATATGAAAACTCCCAAAAACGTCCTTAAGTATTTAATTTTGAACATTGAATTACCAAGCTGAATAGTGCCACTTTTATGATAAGATTTGGAAAATACATCAATTTTGTAAGCTATTTTATTTTCTAACAAATAACTGAACTGTAACTTACCTACCCGTAACAATTGATGATTTGACAGAGACAGATGCTAACAAAGACAGGTAATAGATGCCAACAAAATTTCAAATATTTTGAAACTCATTTGTGGCACTTGTCTGTCAGGCATAATGCCACAAGTAAAAATCTTAAAGTTTGCCTTCACATATTCGATATTACTATTTTAAGGTAGTCTTACTGTAATGCTGTCCCACCTAAAGAATTCTAACATCGGCCAATATCGTAACAAGTAAAATGGTTTTCTGCGGGAAACATTTTTAATGATATAAAGATATTTCATTTAACTATTTTCAACATTGTTTGGGGAAAAAATAAATAAGCGTTTGTATCAGGAATATAGTTGAAAATAATCGATCAATAGAAGGAGGTCTATGGAGACTGGTGACCGTTGAAGACCGGAGGCCGGAGAAAATGTCAAACATAAAACAATTACGGTACTTTTTTTTAAGAAAATGATTAAATACCATTGTATGAATAATTCCTTGCAAAATTTACACAAATTTACGCAGAAAATATCTCTATTTATTATGGCAGATACCACTACGAATGTTTTGTAGATTTTCACTATAAACAATTTATTGTTTGTAAAATTTGAGATAGATATTAAAGAAACATTGATCATTGATAATATTTTTTTCAAACACATCATGCAAGATTTTCCACCTTAAATGGTAAAATAATTATAGAAAATTGGAAATATCACGTAATGGTTCTATGTTCTTAATCAGATGTGACTCGAGGTAAATCCGTAACGTACTGGCTAACGGTATTTAGCTAGGTTTTCGAAAAGGTCAATTAACCAATCATGTACGGTTAATAGATCACATGCTCCTCCATGTACTGAAAACAGGTCACGTGCTCCTCCATGCATCAAAAATTAAACGCGTACCAATACCCTGCGGGCTCCGGCCTGCAGGGAATAAATTGGTAATTACCGGATTGATATTTTTCAAAATCTTTGCTTACTGTTTATAACCAGAATTTAGTACATAGCTATAAAGGATGAGTGATTGTAAATAATTCAATACCCAAGATTTTGAAAATAAAAAAGTTCTGGATATAACCGATTTTCTATGACATAGGCCGATGTTAGAATTTTTTGGCGGGAAAGCACTACAGTAAGACTACCTTTATAAATGAATGTTTCGAATTCAAGGTATGACAAAACCAGTATTATGAAAATCCAGGAATGTACTATTAAGTTTAAGTAATAAAAGAAAAACATTAAATGCTTATTTATGGTGAATAGGATTGTGGATGGATAAACACGTTATTTCTTCCACCCATCAATAGGCTCCGTTTTCAGTTTCGCGATTTTGTGTGATCATCAAGGTTTCAACTGTTTGCTGCTTTTAAAAAACAAGGATTAAACATTTACAGCCTCAGATAAGAGTCAAAATTTTACCTCCGGTACAGATTATAGACTTGATTAGTAACCACAATGTGATTTTTTCTAATTTTGATATCATGTAATAAATATTAATGATTAGTTTTTAGAATTGAATCATAATTTCTTTTAAGAATTATACCTGTAAAATACCCCCAAAGGCGTTATGTGCAGCATGAAAATTCTTACCAAGTGATAAAAAGTTTTGAAGAAAAATCAAGGGATAATAACTTTATGTTCTTAGTGCTCTGCTATTTATATAATTTTCTGATGATGCCATAAAATTGTTAAAAAATGTGTCATGAAAGTGTCAAAAGTGCTTAGAAATACCTTAAATTAGCCTGTTTCTGTCATAGTTTCTGTGCAGTCATAATGTTTTTACAGACATCAAAGGCAAGGTACCAAAAACTGTTCCTGGAATGCTGATAGTAATAGCAGACGACATTCTAGACCATGTGATAGCCTCCAGTGAGGGCAATATTTGTTTATATTTACACCTGTTGTTGTTGTTATTGATGATGTAAATGAAGATGAAAAGCATTTTTTGTTGAAATTCACTGAATTTGTAACATTTCTACTAACAAGTTTTCCAGTCCTGGATAAACTGCAGAGGAAATAAAGGGTTATATTTCATTATGGACTTTATGATATTAAAAAAAAAACGCAAAATATTTAACATAAATATTATAAGGTTAAATGTTTTGAGATGAATTATATTTGTTTTCTTACTCTGTTTTAAAATATATACCTAAATATTAACAAAGTTTAAATATATAATTATATATGTATATAACTGTTGAGAACCATATTTCTGATATACTTTTAGTTCACTAGATTATGAGTCGGTATGACTATTCTACTAGCATGACCAACTTGAACAACATAATTATGATTGAAGGGAAAAAAAATTTCAGACACAATGATATTTTGTTGAGGCATGTTGATTTAATCATAGTGTCAGTACCAGACTTAATTTATCGCAAGAACAGTGCCACCCATAATGCATTTAGCTTGCATCTGTTGCGTATGTTTTGTTCCGTTACTTACATGCCTCGATAATTTTTTGTCTCCATCATTGAAGAGTACCTGAAAATGTCATTTTGTAATGATTTAGTATGTTCAAAGACAGCCTTGTGTTGTAATGTATGTATATAGCATCTCTATACAAATTCCTCTGCATTTCTCTGAAGTATTTGGAAAACTAATCAAATACTCTTTTGGGATTTATATACAGAAATCTGTGAATAACAAAAATATAGTATCGGTATATTATTTTCAAACTAGCAGACTTGCAGTACAAAATTAGCAGTTATTTTTCATTCATGTTTTATTCTAAGAAATACTTACCTGACAGCACACCACATCTTGGTGGATTAATTGTTTTTGGCTACAAACACATCATTGACAGAACTCCCAAATTCTGTGCCTGTCAGTTCATAAATTTTGTAGAAAGCTAGGAAAGAAAGTACAAAAAAAATTAATAAAAAAATCTGCAACACAGTCGTTGCAGAAAGGAAAAGCCGCCCTAATTGATAAGTAATCTTTATTGAGTATGCCAGAGATGTCTTTATTGACAAGTGGTCTTATATGAGTGGTCTTTATTTACAAGTGGTCTTATATCAGTGGTCTGTATTGTAAAGAACTCTATTTACAAATGGTGTTACGTAAATGATTTTTTATTGACAGGTGGTCTTGTAATTATGAGTGGTCTGTATTGTAAGGTACTGTATTCATAAAATTCATGGTCTTACGTGAATGATCTTTATTGACAAGTGGTCTTATAATATGACTGGTCTGTATTTGGTCTTATAATGATGACTGGTCTGTATTGTGTTCTTTTCAAAAATGGTGTTATGTAAGTAATCTTAATTGACAAGTGGTCTTGTAATTATTCACAAGTGGTCTTTATGTGAATGATCTTTATTGACAAGTGGTCTTATAATGATGACTGGTCTGTATGTTGGTCTTATAATGACTGGTCTGTTTTGTATTCTTTTCAAAAATGGTGTTAAGTAAATGATCTTTATTGACAAATGGTCTTGTAATTATTCACAAGTGGTCTTAATGTATATGGTCTTCAATGACAAGTGGTCTGTATTGACAAAAGGTCTTTAACAACATGTGTTCTTCTACAAGTGTTGTTTATTGCAAAATGCCCTTTTAGAAGAAGTATTTTATCAGCAGTCTTTATATACAAGTGCTTTTTATCGACAAGTGCTCTTTATTGGCAAGTTTTATTTTTTGACAAGTGCTTAACTTTGTTCTTGTTTTCTGGTCAGGGCAAGTGCAGATTAGACAGGTTCCACTGTATTTACTTTTTATATAAAATTTCACGGTTATCTTTCTGAATTATAGACTTTAGATTTATTTTTCAGGTTAAAGTGAATGAAAAAAGAATGACATGAGTGAGAAGTAGGGAAATTTTTGTCACTCCAGAAATCTTTGGAAGGTAAAAGCAATGTTTGACAGTGGAGCCAGGAGGAGACGAAGAAAAAATAAACAGGTAAATAATGAACAACAGAGAAGATAGGAAGAAAATAAAAGTGAAATCAACTGATAGTATTAAAATTAAATGGGGAATGCATAGATTAAAGGTACATTATACCTCAAAAACACAAATAAAATCATTCTTTAGAAATGTTAAATTTGAAATATAAAACATTTTAATGAAGAAAAAATAAACAGAAATAAAAGTCAGAGAAGACAGAAAGAAATTAAAAGTGAAATCAAATGATAATAAATGCATAGATTAAAGGCACATTATGCCTCAGAAACGTAAAAAATATTTCATTCTTTAGAAAGGTAAAATATCAAATTAAAAACATTTACAAGAAAGAAAAATAAAATGAAAGACAGCAGATAGGTAGATATTACTGAAGAAAATAAAAGTGAAATGAACTGATACTGTTTAAATTAAGTTGAAAATGCATGGATTAAAGGCACATTATGCCTCAAAAACGAAAAAAATATTTCATTCTTTAGAAAGGGTAAATATGAAATTTAAAACATTTGAATATGAAGACAAAAGCATTAAATTTGAAATTATTTGTCATTAAAGTAGCGAAATGTGAATGTAGTATTTTGACTTCCATACAAAATACTTAATCACTTGCCAAAAGGAAACAGAAGCAAAAGTTGGTTTAGGTAATTGGCCAATTAGTAACTTTTTGAAAACAAAAACATAAACCCAGAAAATAAAAAGCCTTTTTGGGAAATAAAAATTGCATTTCTGAGGAATTATGGGCCTTTAAAGAGAAGATATTAAATATTCAAGTATTATTAATATAAAGATAAGCACAGCGATTTAGCAATGAAAGTAGGATACCATTTCATTCTGTTTAATTAAAAAAAAATCTTTAAACATAGCTTAAAAACTAATGATTTATTGCACTTCTTTATTTGACTTGTATAAATTTTATTTTTGGAGTTAACATGAATAAAACATTATGACAATTGCGTACACTGGTAATAAATGCCTTGTAACAAACCAACCACATTACCAATTCAAAAAGGAAAACAAATAGAAAATAATCTTTTAAAAACCTTTAAAGAAATGGGAAAAACAAACTGTTCTGTTTTTAATTTAATATTTTTTATTACAAATAAAAACCTTTTTTCCTACCCTTTTTATAAATCCTTTTAAAGAAAAAATTTGGGGAATTTTTCTTTTTCTTACATATTATTTTTAATTTAAAATTTTTTTTAAAATTTTCTCATGTTTAAATGTTTTTGCAAAGTTTTTATCTTTTGTTTACTTAAACTTGATAAAGAAACACTTATTTTTTCCCTTTTTTCCTTTTAAAAACCCAAAGGGGGGAGCTGTTAATTAATAGTTTATTTATGTAGTTTGAGGTGCAACAAGTTTAAGTGATTAATGCAGAATAATGTGCATGCATAAATTTATTGGTTATATTATTGCATAAAACATATTTTGTTCAATTTAGAATGAATGGGTAATTTATTATAATGTTTATTTTCCTGTGTCAGCATAAATTTTTTGATAATTCAATCAGGAGTGCTTAGAGCAATAATGATTGTATTGCACATTTAAAGGGATGCCACTGAGGTTTTTTTGACATGACAGGAAATATGTTTTCAAGAATGTGTAGCATCATAAAAACTATGTGTTAACCTATATAACTTGTTTACAAAACTTCAACATAATAATAATTATGATAATTTTATTGTGCAAAATGAGTAAAAAAATGAAAAGCGTGTAAACGCTTTTAACACAAATTTTGCCATGTCAATCACACAAAAAATAAATTTTCAATTTAATGATGTGTATTTGTCACGGAGTGAGAAAAATGTGCAGCCTGCCTGGGACTTTGACCTGGGACCCTTGAAACACTGTAGCTTTCCGGCTGCTTACACACTATCTTCCCCAATTAGTGAACAGTTCAATACAGTGACATATATTATTTTCTTTTATTGTGCCCCCACGTTAGTGGCGGGCATTTAGATTTACACTTGTCCGTCCGTCCGTCCTTCCGTCCGTCCGTCCGTTCACATTTGTGTCGCACGTAACTCAAAAAGTATTTGATCTACAGTTATTAAACTTTACAGGAATGTTGATCAGCATGTGTAGTTGTGCACCTGTGTATTTTCGTCTGGATATTTTTAGTATTTTCAGAGTTATTGCCCTTGACTTAGTAAAATTTTGCAATTTTCAACTTGTGTCGCACATAACTCAAAAAGTATTTGACCTAGAGTCATGAAAACTTTACAGAAATGTTTTGATCAGCATGTGTAGTTGTGCCACCTGGTATTTTCGTGTGGATATTTTAGTATTTTCAGAGTTATTGCCCTTGATTAGTAAAATTTGCAATTTTCAACTGTGTGTCGCACATAACTCAAAAAGTATTTGACCTAGAGTCATGTAACTTTACAGGAATATTGATCAGCATGTGCAGTTGTGCACCAGATATTTTCGTCTGGATTTATTTAGTATATTTAGAGTTATTGCCCTTCACTTAGAAAATTTTTTGCAATTTTCAACTTGTGTCGCAAGTTTCTCAAAAAGGATTTGACATAGTCAATAAACCTTATGGGCAGGTTGCTCAGCATATTTTAGATTTGCACCTGGGGTTTCGCTTGTGGATTTATCCAGTATTTGTAGAGTTATTTCCCTTGACTTAGTAAAAAGATTGATAGAACAGTGTCGCGGTGGGGGCACCCGTGTCCTATGGACACATTTCTAGTTATCTATTACATTTATTTCCATTTAAGTGCCCGAGTAAAAAATAAAAATTTATGTTTTCATGGTTGGACCTCCGTGGGGTGTATTACAACAGCCAACATGTATTATTTCTATGACTGAACAGAAAATTTTGTGACCAATTTGGATTAAATGGAAAAAAAGTTCAGATTATGTTATGTTCTTATATGAGTGTTGTATTTGTATATTTTAATATTATACCACTCATTGCAGCTTTAATGAGTTTTGTGCCACTGGAGATGTCCCTATTTCAGGAACAAGTACAGATAACAGAGTCAGAGAATGTGGTCAAAGTTCAGAGTGACCAACCACACTTGGTCAGTGTTGGAAGTGGACGTTTCTCTACTGCTGTCACAATCCTTCCACTTCAACAAGGTATAAATGGATAGTTCCTAACCACTCAATCCCTTGGTTATGTTAGCCAATATTTATTTCCTTATTGTGACATGTCAGTTTCCAGTTGTTTAAAAATTACAATGCCTAAAGAAAATTTTTATTTGAGGAAAAAGATATCTATTTTGCTACATTTTTAGCTCAATTATTAAAGGACTTGGGAGAGCTATATATTTTACTCACCTCTGCATTGCTTTTAGTATCACCATCACTCTTTGGTTAAGTTTCTGCATGCAAGTTTGTGTCGAATGAACAAATTATTGGTTGAAACTTCACACACATGTATTCTTTGATTATCTAACACGATGGGCACATGTCCTTAAACTCCTTTTTACAAAGTTATGCCCCTTTTCTTACTGTTGAGCGCTAAGAATAGTCTTCATAATAAAATTGTTAAAAGTAAATGGAAGTCAGATAAAGAAGGTCAAATGTCAAGGTTGCAAATATGCGTAAAAGATGCAGGACTTTTTGTACACAGGTAACAACAAATATGGGAATATTGGTGGTTGTCAGCAGGAGAATACCCTTTGTATGTGTTTCAAGGTTGGTATTTCAAATCAATATTTCCAATGTCTGGGTACCATAATGGAAATATATTATTTACAAGTAAATCTTGTTCTTTTTGCTTTTCCATCTTTTATTATTTTATCCAGGTTTTAAATATATATGTAATTCAGGAAGGACAAATATTGGCACCACAGACGCAGATACTCATCCAGATATTGCAATTACTGGGACAGGTGTGGAAACAGAACATTGTTACATTGAAAACCAAGATGGTGTCATTACATTGGTTCCCATTGCTAAGCAGTGTTACATGGATGGAACCTTGGTTGCCATGCCAACAAGATTGGCTCAAGGTTAGAAAAATGGTTACATATTTGCATGAGAGCTATTCTGTCGAGCTATTCACTGATTTAAAAAATCAACTTCAAACTGTACTTCATTTTTAGGTTATAAGAGTGCTTGAACATTATATTGTTAATTGTGAGAAAGTATTTTTTGAAGAGTTTGAGTTAGTTCTGGCATATTTTCAATGTTTGACAGAAGTGTGATTAAGTATGTTTTAAACATGCTCTACTCGATACTGCCAATACTAAAATAATGTAAGTACCTACCCTTAGAATCATGGGATAAAATATGAACAGCTTTATAAACTGCAGTCTAACTAACTTTTTAAAAAAATTTTGACATCCTCCAAATTGAATTTGAAGTCTAGCCTGCTTGGATACACATTGAACAGCTTGGTACAATAACAAACGCCAAGTACCTCAGTCTCTTCTGAGGTACCATGTTACAGCCACCATCTATTTTCTAAATTACCTGAAAAACAAAAAAACAACAAGTATATGACATTTCTAGAACATGACAATATTCCCAGCATACAAAGGGTTAATTATCTCTCTATAGGTCATGACATTTTCAAATTTTGTTTGCTCAAATCATGTCCCTGGAGTCAAATATTGTAGGCCATTCCCCAGAAGACACATGTATTGCTGCAATAATGGAAATTTATTTTTGGGTACATTTTCTTTTATTCTTTATGTATTTTAATATAATCCAAGACATGTTTTTTATCAGAGAGACAATTGTTCCTCGTGCAAAAGTAAGTTCATTTATTTTATGTAAGGTATTTGCAATGGTTTGTTGAAAGGGAGCTAACTGCAGAATTTTTAATAGTCTTAATGTCACAGAGTTATCTTAAACAAAGGGAAGTAACCTCTGTAGCCTTATTATCAAAGGCAATGATAAGTTTGTTTGTTTGTTTGTTTCATTTTATGCCTTTTCCCAACAGTATTTCAGTCATATAGGCGGGTAGTTTCCTAACCATCGTTCCTGGAGATTTTTCACCGTACTAGCTACCTTCCTCCCGCTAAACTCCCAAGCACCCCCGGGGATCAAACCCCACGCCAGAGGGTAAGGGTTAGAAGTCATCGATCTAACCCTCGCCCACGGGGGCGGTGAAATTGAAAGTAATGAAAAAAAATAACTGAAATAAATTTTTATACGGGGAAAAGATCTTTTTTAATTCGGGGTGACAAAAGGTGTTTCTTTTATACAAGAAATTGTTGTTTTTGAGCATTATTTTTGGTTGCCTAGTAACAACTATATTATACACATACAAAAAAACACCCACAAAAACAACAATTATAAGGTAGTTAAAAATTCTGAGAGGAAAAAATGATTTAGCCATTCAAAACATAATACCTGAGCATAAGATTGGGATTCCTGCCTGTATAAACAAAACTTGCTTTTTGAAGGAAATGAATCTTCCCATAATTAAGTTTTAGTGGAACACTTGCCCTGTGAAAAATGCCTCTGATGTTTCTAATTAGCAAAGTATATACCAGTTACAGACTCACCTTGACTTATCTATTATTATATTTTTTAAAGTTTTATATTTATTAATGTTCTTATACATGTACTTTGTTCAAATCTTTTGATTTGAGTTAAATGAATTATTAGAATAATTAGAATATGACGATTTGAGTGAAAAGTGTTGCAATGCTTTTCAATTTAGGGTCATTTTTCACAATTAGAATAAATATTCTGGAAAATCGGAGTGAGCGAATGATCTAAAATGTTGGCACACAAGTTGTTGATGTAGACCTTCATGAAATTGAACATTATCTTGAAAAAATATTTCAAGTCTTGTCATATCAGAAAACCTCAGTGAAGTCCCTTTAAACTGTTATCGCTTGTTTGAGTGTGATCCCTTGTTTGTAATGCAGAACTATTAATTTAATCGCCAAGACCATCTGCACAAACAAATGAGTCTTGTCATGACAGAACCAACATAGTGGGTTTGCGATGCGCGGATGCGCAGGCTGGTCTGGATCCATGCTGGTCGCAAACCCACTATGTTGGTTTTGTCGTGACGCGGCTCAAATGTCTTTTTATTACTAATATATATTGTCTTACTTCATTCAATTATCTGCTCACTTAACTGAAGGGAGAGCATGTGATCAGTTATCCAGGGGTCACTGGTTTGATCCTTGGGCAATGTGTAATTTCTTCTCCATGACAATTTATCTCAGACATTGAGTCAAATGAACCCTGTAAACCTCACTGCTGGTTCAGAAGAAATAAGTGGGATTAGAAGTTGGTCACTTGTGGAGAAATGAATTAATTATTGCTTATGTATCCACGAAAGTTTAGTATGACTAAACATGTGTAAAATTCAGCTGAGTTATGGCCAAAACTTTGTGATAATCATAGAAATCAGAAAAACAAACATAATTCAATGAAACATTTAAGTTCTGCAAGAAAGAGTGTTGTATGCTAAATCAATTCATTATAATTGCACATGGTGTAACCAGGTATATATAGTAGCTATTGAGTCAAGGTCTCCAGGTGTGCAAGTTTTTAAGAAGAAAAAAATTATCTTCTGCTGCAATTGCTGGAAGTTTGAAAAAACCTTTTTCTGGGGGAAAACGATTTTTTGCTTTCACTAAAATTAAAAAGTCTACAGTTGCTGGCTTAAGGGTTTCACCAAAAAATTCTTTTTAGCTCTGTAAATCCTTAAACGAGATAATGCAACAACCCAAAGGGTACAAAAAGAATGCAAAAATTCCATGCAAAATAGTTGATTTTAGTTGAACTTAAGCTAAACATTAATAAATTATATATCTAATTTATATGAAATATTTAAACACTAGGGTCATGTACATAGTTTATACAAATTTATTTTAGTTTGACTGTTTTCAAAGCTATAAGCTTACCGAAACACTCTTGAATTCATTCCTGGAACCAACCAGTACGAAGCAATGAAAGTTTCTATTGCTTGCCCCTGACAGGGTTTTAAGCCATGTGGTCAGCAATCCTTAGATTACTAATTCCACGAGTTAACCACTCGGCCACACCGCCACTCCAGTCATGTTCTTTGCTTTTGTTTTTGAATTCTGTTTTCTTAGTAACTGATGTTACAGAAAATATTTGAAAGGAGGAGGAAAAAAAAGCCAAGAATTATGTCTAATTATTGAGATAATAATTGAAAGATAGAGCCAATTCTAAGGGAAAATTTTTTGTGTTTGATACTAATGAGTTTCAGAAAGATTTAATTAACTCTTCATGTAAATGTGCCATATCTTATAGAGTTGGTCCAGAAAAATAATATTTGAGATGTAGAACCTCAAAAGTTGATATTATTAGGATGCAAATTTTTTATTACATTAATGTAAAGATGGTATGCAATTACAGAACACAAACTTCTAATATTTCATCCCAGGCTTCTAATAATATTTCAGGAAACAAACTTCTTGTTTGTCAGGACCCACTTTTTATCTCACCTGAGTACAAAGCAATCATAGCAATCATTGACTTTCCATAGCGACTGTTGACTTCCCATAGCAACTGATGGCTTCCATGACAATCATTGACTTTCCATAGCAACCACTTACTTTCATAGCAGTCATTGGCTTTCTATAGTAACCATTGACTGTTCATAGAAACCATTGACTTCCATAGCAACCAATGACTTTCTATAGCAACCGTTTACTTTCATAGCAACCAGGTGACTTTCCATAGCAACCACTGTATACTTCAGTCAGTTGAGAGATAAAAGGGCCATGATACACAATTGCCCTCTTGTTTAATATATCAGGACCCAAACTTCTAATATTTAAGAATCAAATAAAGCTGCTTGTTATATTTCAGGACCCTATCTTCAAATATTTCAGGACTTAAACATCTTTTATATGGGACTTAAACATTTTAAATTTAGGTCTCAAACTTCTGATATTTCAGGACCCTTACTTCAAATGTTTCAAGACCTAAACTTCTATTATTTCAGGTCTTAAACTTTTTTTAATATTTTAGGACTCAAACTTTTTTAATATTTCAAAACTCAAACTTCTGATATTTCAGGACTCAAACTTTAAATATTTAATGACCCAAACTTCTTATATTTAAGGAACCACACTTTTAATATTTCAGGTGTCATTTATTTTCTTAAATTTTGAAGGTGTAGGGTGGCATTGAAATTAATTGACATTTAAGATTAAAATAGTTTTTGCTTACAAATTCAGATATTTTTCAGAGAATCATTTTGCTTTGGAAAATTTTCAAATGATGACTGGTTTCTAAAAGATAAAATTGCAAGACAATTCTAGATTTCCTTCTGTATATTAAAGGTCAAATTTAAAGAAATCTTTTTTATTATTGATTTTACGGTCATAACATCGAAAATTGGTTAAATTAACGGGTCAAAGTTGGTTTATCATTATTTTGAACTGGAAAACGATCATATTTATGACTTTTATTCGCCTATTGACTTTTCCGATAATTGGCTTATCTCCCCTGTTTAACCTGCGCTGTGACGTCACAGGTGAATTTAACCCATGCGCGTCCGCCATTATTTACATTGTTATGAAAGCGAAGGCAGAATTTTATCTATATTTTTAACAAATTACGGACATTATAAACTTCGGATTTATGTTTTAAGTATCTCATCGTGTTCTTTGGATGTGTAAATATAGATGAACTATGGTTTTGTGTGCCGCCTTTGGCTGTAATTCACTCTCGGGACGTGATAAGGTGAATTTTTTTCGCTTCCCAAAAGACAACAAACTTCGGAAAGTTTGGTGCAGTAGGATCGGCCGTGCTAGCTGTGTTAATAAATTCAAGGTTTATTCTCCAAATAAAAACAGTCGGTTGTGTTCGCTACACTTTGAAGAGAACCAATTTACACATAGTTTAGCATTTTTAGAGACAATTGGTTTTGAGGGAAGATTCAGGAGAATATTGAAGACCGATGCTGTGCCCACCATCTTTCCTGCTACTGTCAACAAACTTTCACAGGTGAAAGTGAGAGGAAGACATTCTTCGGAAGTTGTGCTCGAAAAAAAGAGAAAAAAACAAGTAAGTTTGTCTTTCAGTTATTTTTTAGATCTATATCTTCTCCATTCATACATATTTTTTTTACTTCATCACTTTATTTCTTAGCTAATGGGTCACAGTAGTGCTCAATTTGCAGACTGAACTGGTCTATTTATTGCAAGTAAAAATATAAGTTGCAGATAGAACAGTTGTGCTATGTGTCGTACGGCATTTTCAAAGTTATATGGAAGTCGCAAATGCATAACAGCATATGTTATTTTGTTGCTTTAAGGAAGTGGCTAGCCGTACGGGCCTGTACGGCTAGCCAAAAGTTCTAGCCGTACGTGAGTCACGTACGACTAGCCTAGTACGGGCCCGTACGGCTAGCCACTTCCTTGCTTTAAACAGGTATGTCTAAATACCGAATATGTTTACTTTTTAGAGATTAATCGCTTTGTTAAAAAGTTTGTTGTCTACTAGTACAGTATAAAAAAATATGAATATCGATCTTTGTCACTCAGGGCGTTAAGAAAAAATTATACAATTAATTTTGCTTTTCAATGTTTTTTTTTTCAATGTTCTTTTTATTTATTCCACATACTCCGATCATTATTTATTCGATAACCCTTGCTTAATTAACAAAAATTCATCTTTATACAAATAAAACAACAAATCATAATCATGAGGCACAAAGTAACTTCTGCATGTTCTACTTCCATATAATTTTGAAAAGAGCCGTATGGCTAGACAATACAGTGAGTCCTGGCTAGTCGTATGTGACTCAGTACATTACTCACGTATGGCTAGAACTTTTGGCTAACCGTACCACTAGCCACTTCCAATATTTATTGTGCAAAATAAAGACTACAGTTTATTTTATGATAAAGGTTCAATTTATGCACAGAAAATCAGTTATCACTTTTCAAAAATATTCTCATTTTCTTTTCTTATACTCAACATTACTGGTCAATCTAATGTTTTCAAATTTATTTCTTTAAAATATGAAAACAAATATCAACAAAGGAAGCGTTGCATTCAATGAGCATACATTAACCGCTAATCTAACTGTTAAAACACAGTGAATGATCACCGGTTTCACTTCAGATTCATTTTTGTTGTTTACAAATTTAAATGGGTCATCTAAAAGTAAATATATTCTTCAACAGAAATTTACGATACAATGTTCTTTAACCTGCGTATATTTTTACTACTGTAACCATAAGCTGAAGATGATAATATAAATAATGCATAAATGATTGATATACATGCATCACGCAATTCTTACTGAAAGTACATATACTGATTATTAGTACTACACAATTATTTCGGAAAAAATATGGAAACTTATTTCTTATGAAAACACATTCTGAATTTTAAAGGCTCGTCGAGCTTATAATCTTCGGATTTTTGCAGGCCCGAATTAGTCATCGGACCTGTGTCTTATTTCGCAGACTTGTATAAACTGTTAACGATATGTATGTTTTTTGAATTTTTGGATTAAAGTGTAATAAAACTTTTATTTCTTTGTAAGAAAATAGTTAAATATCACCTTATCATCAATTCAATGCAGAGAATAAGTAAATACACAAGTTTATGAAGAAAATAAAATGCTTTGTCAATGTTTGTGGCGGGGTTGGGGTGTAATTAATTTCGGTGATTAAATGTCTGTTTCCTACCAAGGGTTTATACATCTTGAAAATCATGCATAAATGGTACAGTACAAGATAAAGTGGCACTGCACAAACATTTGAGCCGCGTCACGACAAAACCAACATAATGCGTTTGCGACCAGCATGTGCATCCGCGCAGTCTGATCAGGATCCATGCTGTTCGTTATCAGTTTCTCTACTTGTAATAGAGTCAAGGTAAGTGAACAGCATCGATTTTGATCAGACTGCAGGGATGCGCAGGCTGGTCTGGATCCATGCTGGTAGCAAACACACTATGTTGGTTTTGTCGTGACGCTGCTCATTTTAATTTCAAGGCCACATGCTCTACATATATTATGGGCATTGTATCTGTACAAGTAGATGTTATACTTTGACAGAAATACATCAAGACAAGTTCAATAGTAAGAATTTATACAGAAACACTTGTTATGTTTTGAATACTGATTAGTTGGTTGTGATACTATTTCAGTAATTTAAAAACTATACATTTTCGAAACCTATAAACATGTTATTTCAGATAACTGATTGATATCACATTGTACCCTATTTTGTTTGTAAAATTTTATTAAATTAAATATCTCTAAATTTTAGATCCTGTGTGAAGCCAAGAGCTCAAGCCACACTCTGACAGAAGTAGATACTTCATGCCCTGACACTCCAGAGCAGTCTTCAGTCTTCGATGCCAATGGACCTCTGATAGCAACACCCATACAACTGCCAACAAATTTAGAAACCTTAGCAGCAGTTGCATGCAACACCCAGGCCATGCCAGTGCACCATGTGTACCATGCCCAGTGCCAGACACCAGCTTCGGTAAGTTTGAAAAAGGCATAAACTGTTTAACTATTATGCAGGCAAACAAATGTAAAAAAGTCGAGATGTAATGATTTATAACTCAATTGATACAGTTTTCATTTTTCTTGAGCCAAATTATAAAAATATAGCAAATGGTTAACCTCTTGTAATGGTTGATAAGCTTTGTTTATAAACCATAAGTTCAAACTGTGAAGTTATTATGGTGATATGATAGATATTGCATTGCATTAAATATTTTAATATAGCAAGTATTGCAGTATTTGCACAAAATTCATGACATGACAGACAATGAATTTAAGATTTTGAATTTACTAGCCCGAATTCAAGTTTTGAATTTATTCTACTTTATATTTAACTAAATTTTCTTAAAATTTTCAATGGTCGAACTATTTTTCACTGGCCATGAGCCACTGCCTTTTTCATACAAAAGCACTGGTACTTCACACATTATTCACAGATTCCCTCCCTGGCTCACATTTAGTTGTTTGTAGAAGTAGGCAGCATATATTAGTATGTTTTCCATTAATATGTCTGACCCACCTTTCTCATAACAATGAAGTTTTTTTTTTGCATACGATAAGGGTGGAATTTAAAAACAACTGTTAAGATTTGTTCATAATTTTCTTATATTTGCCCAAATTAAAAGGCATGCATGATTGACTGTACTGAAAAAAAACAAAACAAAAAACAACAACATGAATACATAAAAAATTCACTATGTGTAACACAGGTAATATCAGTGATTTTACACTTACAATGAATTTTAATGGTGATTTGATTTCATTTTTTTACTCATTTCAGTGGAATCGTGCAAAAGTTGAAGTAGCACTCATATCTTGTGGGACACAGACTGATTGGGAAAGAGATGTGCAAGCAGATAGTGATCTAAAAATACCCATGGCATCAGCCAGCATGTGTGAGGACAGCTTTCTATCCAGCCTCAACCATTCCCGGGAAGATGAGAGCTGTGATGTTACATGGGAGCCATCTGACGATGAAGATGATGATGATGATGACAGTGATGATGATCAGATGGAGTGGGAAGGCAGCCAAAGCCAGATTACTGGCAGGAAGTTTATTGTGTCGGAGTCCTGTTTGGACAAGCTTCTAAATAAGTGCTCTATTTGTAACAAGCCAGTTGTTGTGAATAAGACTGTTAAAGGCTGTCTTCTTGTTTGTAGCAGGATATGTGATAACTGTAATGAAACTCAGACCTGGGAAAGCCAACCTACAATATGTGGGCTAGCTGAAGGTCATTTGGACCTTTCAGCAGCCATTATGTTTTCAGGCAGTGCAACAGCTAAATTTCTGAGGGCTTTAAGATTTGCTGGCATTTCATGCTTTAATGACAGCACTTTCTATAATATTCAAAAACACTATTTGAGTCCCTCAGTTGAACATGTGTGGAAAGAACATCAAACCCAGTTAACTAGTGAAATTCGTGATAAGGGATTACCAATTGTTATTGGAGGTGATGGGCGTTGCTGCTCACCAGGCCACACTGCTAAGTACGGCACTTACAGTGTTATGGACCTGAACTCTGGGAAGATTCTGGACATTCAACTAGTTCAGGTTTGCCTTTTCAATTCTATTTATTTAAGTGTTGTAAACCAGTATTTATTACAAGTATTTATAACATTGCACACAAAACATTTACGCTTAATATATCAAACTAGTTTTTTTTTTATGAACGATAAAGACTGTTTGACATTATGATTAAATACAGACTGTTTTAAATGTTTATTATTTCAGTATAAGTACAGACTGTTTTTTTTTTCCAGTATAAGTATACTGTTTTATAAATTTCAGTATAAATATGATCATCTTTATAAAGATTACCATTATTTGTGAGTGTAAACATGTTCATGCATATTTTTATGGCAAAGCAGCCTATTTTATTTTGTGGCCATGCTTTATTTTCTTGTTCCAACAACGTATGATTTATAAAAAGTAATTATTTTTGCAGAGTAATGAGGTGAAAAATTCCCATGCTATGGAGTTGGAGGGACTGCAGAGATCCCTAACGTTTCTACGTCATGAATGTGGTCTTCAGGTCTCACACCTTGTGACAGACAGACACAGTTCAGTAAAGAAGTATATGCGAGAACAACAGCCAGATATCATACATTGGTTCGATGTTTGGCATGTCGCAAAAGGTTAGTAGCTTTATATCATATAGTCAATCTGAATTTAGACAGGGAATAAAGCTTTAGTAATCATTAAGTTAATTACTTAATATCCATGTCAACCTTGTCATGTGTATATTAGCTTACCATTTATCTCGTTTATCTGTTTAACTGTATACTACAAAGATTTTTTTCAGAGAGATATTTCTATAAACCACAGAAAAGCATGTAATAAAATGTTTTCTGCTAATTACTCTTGGATATATGGATATTTGGCTTTCGATATATTGATATCAAATTCAATGACAACCATGTTGATAAATATTTGCCTTCAATGACAGCCTTATTACTACACATGGAAATCAAAATAATAAATTACATAGATAAATAATTGAGCCGCCTCACGACAAAACCAACATAATGCGTTTGCGACAAGCATGGATCCAGACCAGCCTGCGCATCCACGCAGTCTGATCAGGATCCATGCTGTTCGCTTACCAACCCTATTACACGTAGCAAAACTGATAGCGAACGGCATGGATCCTGATAAGACTGCGCGGATGCGCAGGCTGGTCTGGATCCATGCTGGTCGCAAACACATTATGTTGGTTTTGTCATGACGCGGCTCAATTCTGTTTGTTTTCCCCAACAGGAATCTACAAAAAGCTTGAAGCAGCAGGAAAGAAGAAAGGGTGTGAAAAGGTAAAAGCATGGTCAAGGTCTGTGAGTAACCACCTTTATTGGTGTGTGGCCAGCAGTGATGGTGACGGCGAAATGGTAAAGCAGAAGTGGCTGTCAATGCTCAACCATGTGGCCAACATACATGAGGGTCATGGTGATAAGTTCCCGAGGTGTGAACATGGAGACCTTGAAGATCGACTATGGATGAAAAAAGGTACAATGAAAGCAGTATACTGTTAAAGACAATATTAATATATTAATAATATAAAGATGATATTATTTGATAGCATGGATTAATTTTTATGTTCATTCCAGGTTAAAACACGAGTACTGAATATGCTATAGAGATAATCAGATTGTTGTGTTAACATTCCTTGACTGACTGAAATGTTTAAAAGTTTACTAGGTTAATAACATTTAAGTACAACTGTTTTATTGGGAGAAACTACATGTATAAGCATAAAGTATCATATGTCATTTAACCCCAATAACATGATTTCTTAAGTTTTACCATTTTATGGGTTGTTTGAGAAATAGATAATTAACAAGTGCATGATTTTTTCTCTTTTAGGTTTCAAGCCACATGCAGAATTATCAAAGGTTGTGGAGAACAAGCTTTTGTTAACTGACATTCAGAAACTTTCCCCAGCTCAGCAAACATCTGATTTAGAGGCTTTTCATAAAGTCATGTGCAGTTGGGCCCCAAAGTCTGTTCACTACATGCATACATACATGGAATCAAGGTAATGAAATAGATGTCTGATGTTTTGTTGTATCTTAAAAATATAAGTAATAATTTGGTCAAAATTAAATGTGGTATTTATGTTTCACTTCTCTGTTAGGTACCTTAGTAGTGTTCATGTGTGGTTGGGAATTTGTAAGAAAATTGCATTGCCTTGTTATTGTTTATTCTAATATTTTAATGAATTACTATTTATGGTTTCTTTTCTTTTTAAAAATTTATTGGACATGAGTGACTATCAAAATACTTCATTATCTTAGATCTAAAGTGAGTGCACTCCACTTCAACGAAAATGCCAAGAGGGATGTGAGAAAGACGAAACATGGAGTTGAGCAGTACAGCGTGTCTTACCCAAAAGGCAGGAAGGGTGAGCCTGTTGTCAAAGATGTAAAAACTGAGCAAACGTTTGGTAAGTAATGGCGGCATGGCCGGTTGGTTTTTACGCTTCGGACTAGTTATCTTATGACTGCTAGTTGCATGGGTTCAAATCCTGGCAGGGACAAGTCGTTGTTTCCTTGAGCAAGAATATTTACACTCATTGCTCAGTACTGGTTGGTTCCAGGGCGAATTTGAAAGTGTGTTTATGAGCTAATAGCTTCCTACACAATCAAACTAAAATAAATTCTATATAAACCAAGTAATGGAAATAAGCAGCATTGGTCTTGTGGTTAGGTGTCTGCTTCTTTAGTCTGGGATTGTGGATTCAAATTTCAAGTCTGACTGGGGTCTTGTCCATTCCTCCTTATATGACACTGGTTAGTGTCAGGAAGTGGACTCCAAAATGATAAATAGTTATATAACCTGTGTCACAATTGATCTTTAAAATTCAAAAATCAGTTAGCTACATTTCAATCCCATTGTTTTGAAGATGATAATCACTACTTCATGTAACTTATTGTTGAACTAAGCTTTCTTGTTACATAAAGTTGACAATTTTATTTATGTTTCAGGGTATGTTACTGCTTTGATGGCACATGCCAAAGAGCTTAGAGTAAGACACTCTTCTTACAGAATAGCCTGTGAAAGGAAGGAAATGAAGGCAAGACCATTGCCATTGGCACAAAGCACACCAAAAAGACTAGGTGTTTCTAAGGAGTTACTGGTGAAAAACCATGTAAGCAGGTTCAACCGATAATTGAAGTGTTATCTTAGAGTGGCTACGAAATCATTACCAACTAAATCAAAAGCAGCATAACATTTGTTCCGGAAGATTTGGTTCAATAATGTGCGAAATATTCATGTGTGTTGAATTTAAGAGAACTTTCAGAATCAAAATATTTTACCAGTTACAATTGTGTAACCCTTAAACATCACTTAAATTTAATGTGCATACCAGAAATCTTGGATCTATGATGTCTTGGAAATAGTGTTTATAGCATTTTTTGTGTTTATTTATTGAAAACTGTGTTGACCATGGTAAGCCTTACACCTGGTCTAAAAATAGACATTTACACTCCATCAGTCAGCCTTATTTATAGACATTCATATGACAAGATACCTTATTAGGGGTCACTGGTGCTGAAAAAAGTTTATTTTTTTCGTTTAGCTCATGTAGACTTTGTTAATATAGTCTTTGATATATAACTTGGTAATTTTTTTTCCTTGGGTTGACTTTATTGTCATTTGATGTGTATTGTGTTTAATATTTGTTTAGCCTTTCTCTGCAAGCAGTAGAATTAATAGCAATGGCATGCCAAGCTAAATTTATTTCTAACAATAGGTCATGACTGTCAACTTTATATGACTGTAAATTGTCCTGAGCACATCCCCCTTCTATGATCTCGAGTGAATGAGTTAAACTTGTTTGCAAATAGTTAAAGGCCCATTATGCCTCAGAATATTTACCAATTTTATTTCCCCAAAACCATTCTTTTTGGTATTTTACAGTTTTTCACAGTAAAGCTCATTTGCCATATGCATGGACTTTATTTTGCACAATTTAACACATGTTTGACATATTTAAATAAATTTTTTTTATTGATTTCTGAGGCATAATGTTCCTTTAATTTAATAGACCCTGGCACAAAAAGGATTTTCTTGTATTGTACAGTGAACTGAATATATAAATGTAAAATGTGCAGCTGGTGAATTTCATTGATAGATGTATATGGAAATAAATATTAGTTACAGTTGAATACCACCATTAGTGTTTGTTTTCAAGACTATCATATTTATTTATAAACTTGTGTTTCTGCATATAAAGCATGTCTGCCTAATGTTAGAAAATCGGAGGAGAATAATGTGGGTTTTTCTTTGAGATACCAACTTGCATACGGAAACCTAACCAAAGTATGCACAAAGGCGAATACTATAGCTCCATATTCTTTAAATAGTTTAACTAAAAACTACATTTTATGACACCATTAATTTTAGTGATCTTTGTAGCTTGTTTGGACATGTGTGCTAAAAAAAACACAAAAAAACACTTGTGTGAAAGACCATAATAAGACTAAAATCATGGATGGGGATATAACCTGCATGTTTAAAATTCAAACAAATACAAAATTACTAAGAATAATTTATTTATGATAATATACAGAACATTTGAATCCAAAGACAACTACTGGGGGTAACGGAAGCCACTGTACTCCTCTGAGGGAAACTGTTCTCTAATGGCGTTGACTGCACATGCAGGAATGACACGCCTACACTTTCTTGGCAGTAATCCATACACCCATCTTGTAAAGCGCCTGTAGGCAAGGTATCTATATAACCTGAAAACAAAATAATGATCAGCTATTATTCCGGCAAAAGTGCTTCAAAGACTGAAAGAGTGAAAATGGTCTGTTGTATTTCAATAAATTTTACCTCCTCATAACATATTTAATATTTATCTGTCTTCTATTAATGACAAACCCATTCTGGGGGACGTAGACAGGACTAGACTTCAGAGACAAGTATATCCCGGAATCAGTTCCTAGCTCTTATTAAATAGTCCCCTTAGATTTTTACATGCCCTGTGTATATCACTGATCATGTGAGAATTACCTGGATTTCTCACAAACACCTCTAGATAGGTGGGAAACACTGAAAGTGTCTCTGAAAAAATCTGAAGGGTGTTACACAGGATCAAACCCGGGACCTCAGTAGTAACAAGTCAGTGGTCTTACCAACTGAGCTACTGCAACGTGCCACCATTTCAATACTCAAAATTTATTTTTACTGGCAGGAAAAGATGAACAAAATACCTGATAAAATTGATTTACTGGAATGTTTGTAAATACAAGTTTATCAATTCATGAAACAAATTAACATTCTTACAAAGCAAAATCATATTATTTAACCCTGAAGTTTATTTTACTCACTCATGAATTTCTTGGTTTTCTTCTCTTGGCCCATTGTTGTGTATAAATTCATAATACGAGGTCTCCAATACATGAATGTTGAGACAGTTCACCTGGAACCCCTCATGAAGTGTGATACAGGGCACACCTTCTGATTCTGCCTTTCCATCAACTATGTTTGTTGACTGGCAGCATTTCCTCTCATGGGCTGTAGGCATGTGAATGCAACATCCACATTCACACCTGTAAATAATATTATAAATAACTATTAAAGCTATAACTATTTCAAAGGTAGTTATTAAAATATTATCTTAGAGATGGACAGACGTTCTATTGAAAGTGGTTGCATAGAAAACTAGAAAGCACCATTTTTTTTATTCATTTATTTATTTATTTTTTTTTTGTGGGGGGGGGGTCGGAAAATTTCATGCTTTAACTGATAAATATATGTGAATCGCAAAAATCAAACTATTCAAAAGAGATGGAAAGATTAAAATTAATCATAGAAAAAAAGAAGAAGTCTAAACACAATTACCACTCGTCAACATTGCCGTTAAATGAATCATCGGAGCTGTCTTCAAACTCCGAGTCCGAGTCGGACACACTTTGTTCCTCCTGGCTAACAGCTCTTGGCTCGTACATATAAGGTCTTATTTCATTGACCTCTTCATCATAAATCTCAGAGTCGTCAGAAAAATCCATGATACTGGTTAATTTTTATTCAGTATAAGTTATCTGAGAAAGTTCGATATATATAGCGTTTCAATATGGCGGCGTATCGAAAGTACACCTCTGACGTCACAAGCAAAGGGAAGTAATCGATACAAATTTTAACTAAACGGTGCGTTATGCGAACATTTACCTGGTGATTTATGACTTAGAGCGGAGGGTTATAACTTTGCAATTTATTTTAATCTTCTTTTTATATTACATACTTTAATATTTTCAAATAAAACAAAGCGTTAAATTTGACCTTTAAATAATGATGTTTAGAATACAAAATTATTGAGTTTAAGTTATAATATGACTTTGTTTACTTTTTATTTGTGAAAAAGTAAAAAGAATCATTTAAAATAAAAAACTGTTACTTCTATTAATAATTTGCACAGTCATATGTTTCCCCCATTTTTATGGGATGAATTATCTTGACAATTTTTGTAATGATAAAAACAATAGTTTATTGACCTATAACTAAATGATTATCCCAATTATTTTCATGATTGAAGCAATTTTTTACGCCAAGTTTTCAATATACATCATCAGAACAACAGCTGTCTTGTGACAGAACATCTTCTCTTGGAAGAAAAAAAAATCCTATGAAAGAAACAGAAAAAAAAATATATATAGATACTGTACTCATGGTATATACAATGGATGTAAATGTACATAATGGGGGTAACAGTAAAAACAGAATAAGAAGGAAAAAAACATGTGTGTAATTGACATTATGATGTTTGTACAGCTCTGTGTTTTATGTAAGTTGAAAGCAACTAAAACAATTTATAGCCCATTAGCTGTGAAGGTTCAGGATGTCTTTAACAGATGATACCTCTCAAACTGGAGCCACTGGGACCATTTACATGTACTGCCTGCCGCTGTTACAGAATTTTATAGCTAAAGTTAGGTAATATAGTATAAGTAAGAAAAAACATCATCATACCTTGGTATTATTTAAATAAAAGAACAAGTTACAGCAGATACCTCTTATACTGGAGCCACTCATGGACCATTTACTTGTACTGATGTTGTTACAGAATTTTAAGATTGTAAGAAAAAAAACATCTCAACTTGATATTATTTCAAAGAACAAGTTCCAGCACACTGTTTCGAGGCAGGTTTTACCAGGTTTTCATACAGAATCTTTTATGTTAGACTCGTAAATGTAATGGCCAGGGAGGTTGGCCGGATGGATATTTTGGTAAAGCCCATACTATAGGCGGTTTCTACCTTCTGCAACTCCTACTTTTTCTGAAGGTTCCCAAAAAAATTTACAGACGCCTATCATTTATATAGAAGTCTCCGGAAATTGAGATATACTTTTTTCTGATCTCATTATTCAACTGTAAGACTTATGGCTTGAGAGTTTGAAGAAGTTTTTTGAGAGTTTTAAGAGCTTAATTTTTGTTTGAATAGCCCTGTAATAAAACTAAATTGAACCCTTTAAAAGCCACAACTGTAGGGACTATTACATTCTCAATGTGTACATTGTGCAATCCTTTGATTGATAGAAACAGTGAGTTTTTTTCCCCCTGTCAGACAGGTGCTCCAGTTTTTAAGAAAATAGTTGTATATATAATATAATATATCCAGTAGAAAAATGATACAATCCATATGATACAATCCATATCAATTTTTTTCCCTCCTGAAAAATTGGCTTTGTAGTGAACAGCCTCTATAAGATTTATAAAAAGTTTTGATCTGTTACTGTAGAAACTGGTTTTTTAGGCTAATTGGCACCCTAAAGGCTTATTTTAGAAGTTAATTGATGACCTCTAGTCAAATACTGCTGTCTTCTAGTATTTATTGCACACTTAGGGTGTCTGTCTGTACTGGTTGCCAAATTTATGTCCAGAATTAAAAGGAGAACAAAAGTAAATCAAGTATGATAGATGTTGATTTTTTCCAGTAACTATTTCAATAAAATGATTGATTTTTGAGCAAAGAATTTTAAAATTAATGGAAGCACAATTAAATAAGTGTTATAAATTCAAGATATTTTGTGGTGAAAATAATCTAGGTCAAAGGTCAAGGTCAACTAAGGAAACTTGAGACAACTTATTATAATATTAAGTTTACTTTAAAAGTTATAATGCAGTAAATGCTAATCTCAAAATTAGAACTCATAGATGGCCTGGCACAAATATTTTTTATCATTCCTTGTGCAACTTTAAGACCTATAAATGTGAGGTCAAGGTCATATGACTTAAAAACTTCATTTTAAAATGTGATACTCTAAGGATAAGAGACAAAGGCTATTTGCTTTTGAATCCAGTAGGTAAATTTATGTGCAAAAGTTTGCAGCAGCCACTCCAATTCAAGGTCAAGGTCACACTAGTCTTGAAGGTCAAAATGTTTTAAACTCTATTGTTATATAAGCATTTTATGGTCAAAGTGACTGTTTTAGTCACAGGGTGATAGTGACAAATGCAGGACAATGTTGGGAATACAGCTGTCGTGTTCTGACTACCTTGTTATGTTTTATTTTGTGTTATCTCTTTAGTTAAAAATAAACTAAAGAAACGTATTTGGTGAGATGCGTTTCAGTCTTACCAATTAATTTTAAGTATTTTTTCCTATAAGAAACAAAAAAATCAATACTCATCTTGATTGATTTTGTTGGCTGTAAACGATTCACGAAAGCTTTCTGTACAAATTAAAACCTTTGCATACGTATTAAGATACTGCATACGTCTGTATATTTATTTTCATCTATTACTATCAGTATCAACTAAATGCATCGTGATCATTTTTGTCTGATCTATTCACTGTTATATATCTCTGTAACATAAAGTGATTAACCGGATGTCTCAGAATCATAGGAAAAATGGTTTTCTGTGATTATTTTTCTATGATACTTAGTAAGCCTTTGTAATTATCGTAATCCTTCTACCATTTTCACATTACCATTATCAATATTTTCAAACCATGCATGCTGTTGATGCTTATTTTCTCTCTCTCTCTCTGGCAAAAAAAAATGTAAAAAAAATGGCATGCCACAGTGGCTTTCCTCTTGTTCTTTACAGAACAAAAACAGCCCAAAGGCAGCTTAGTAGTTTATATGTTCATAAATAAACCGCCTTTGAACTCCGATTTCCATATGGACAATATTATGAGTATATCATACAGTCTATGTTATTATGGTGTTAGATGAAGGGCATGAAAAATGGATGAATGAAAAGAAAATCACAAGAAACAGGACTGTGGGAAAAGATGATGATTATAGTTAATGTTAGCTGTTAATGATTACTTAGGAAAATTGTTTTAAGGATATTTATCTTGAAGTTGCTGAATGTTTGAAAGGGATACAGTGACTGATGATTTAAGATTTGAGTGTGATATAGCATTGATTTATTAAAGAAGTTATAATCAAGTAAATCACCAAGTGAAGGATTTTTTTAAAAACATTGATTTTTTGTTGCATTTGTGTGATTGGGATAATCATAGTAATAGTGATTGTGATTTAACAGTGATTAATTGTTGATGATTTATGTGATTGTGATTAGGTACAGTGTTATTAAACAGTGACTGTTGTATCTCTGTGATTGTGATTAAGTGAAGTCATTATAATATACAATGTGATTAAGCAGTGACTGTCATCGAGTACAGTAGTAAATAGTGATTGTGAATTAGACAGTGATTGTTTTTATCAAGTACATTGTGATTAAAATTAATGTTGCCAGTGATTAATGCTAATTGTAAATGGTGGTAAAAAGTGATTTGAACAAGTGACTGTAACTTTATATACTATAAGAGTCATTCAGAGAAAATTTTTCTAAATCATAAGAATAGTGATTTAAGTGAGGCATAATAGATCAAATCTAAAACAGACTTTAATTGATTTGAGAATGTTTTACTAAGATGAATGATATACTAAAAGGATACAAAAAAGAACAAGGTGAAATAATTTAAAACCAAGGTTTTTTTAAATTTTGAAAAATAGTAAGAATTAATGCTGACAAATTATATATTCACATAGTCTTACTTTTTGTACTTATTAAAAATGCATTTAAAAAAAAGAACCACTATGATCAGTTCTATCGGATGAACAATTGATGTTTTGCTGATTTTGTGTTATAAATAAATCAATTGCACAGAGAATCAGATAAAGCAGACATTTCGACAAGCTGTTTAGATAAAGGAATATAAAATATAGAAGATAAAATATAAAAGTATAAGTTATGACAGGCTGCTTTGGTTCCCACACACTTTTTTCCGGTTAATTCCGGTTAAAAATAGCATCATACTCGCTTGGAGGCATTAATGAAATATTGACGTCTGCATTTTAATCAAACCAAGAAGTATCATATATAAAAGAAGGGAGAAAAAGAAGAAACAAAACAACTGCAGAAATTTAATCAAGATTAATTTCTTGAAGGTTTTTCGAGTTTACAAAAAAAGAGTAAAAAGAAGTTAAGCAGAATTTTCTCATGCGCTCTAAGCTGTAGGTTTAGCTGGTTTGTGTGAGTCATTATGAACTGGAATAATTTCAAAATAACAATAAAACGAGCAGAACTGATTTACTTATAATATCATATCTTAGAAACAGATTGTTGTTGGTGATATAGGAATATAAATATATGTTAGTGTCGGATACAGTGTGTTTTTGAATATACTTGATGAGTATACAAGGATTTTTTTCATACATTTATACTATACAGATGAAATTTGTGGACATCTGTACATGTATATTTGATATTTTTCACAGACCAGAGTATTTTTTTTTTCTGTAGGACTATTTTAACTGAATGGGATTTTAAAGTGTATAGTAATGTTCTTAAATATTATTTGATGGAATCAATGGATTGTGGATGGAGGTGAATACATTGAAACAAATTAAGTGTTGATGATTTAAAATGACCGTAAGATTAGTTCTTGGCAAAGGATGACAAGTTTTAACAGATGGATTTGTCAAACAGATATGTACATAACTGGGATATAACTGTATATATAGAAGTTATTTAAAGTGGTGATATGTGACAAAATGTAAACAGTTGTGGACTATATTTAACTGCTGTATATAGGCATTTATTTATTTAATTTATTAATTAATTTATTGAATTATTTGTTATTTATACACTTATTTATTTGAAAAAAAAAGAAAAAAAGAAGAAAAAAAAGAAACAAAATCGTTTTAATGTCTTTCACATACAACAACAAAATAATGATATATATTGCTTGATAGTATTCCTCTTATAAAAACAGTTCAATATCAAGAATAAAGTAAGAATTTATAATATCAAATGAGGAGTCATCAAACAAGTTGATACAATAGAAAGTTTGTGTTCTGTAAGAGATGTCAGCAAATTTCAGAGTTGTTGCTCAGGCAGAATTTGTACATGCCTGCTCTAATAAAGGTTAGTATAATAGTAAAAACTTGATCCCAGAACATTGTCCTGCAGAAATTGACAGTTTTTGTTATGATTTTATTTTGAAGACTTCCATGATAACCGGCTTAAGGCATACATGATATATATTTTACAAAGTATACATGTCAAGTGTTTCAGGTCGTTGACTTGAAAACACTTGCCCCTCACTATTGTGGGTGGGAATCCACTAAGGGCTTTGTATTCTTTCATATGAGAAAACTATCCAGCTAGCTAATGGTACCAGGTGTCTGTTTGATAATGCCTGAAATAATGCATGGAGGAGCACCTGAGGTCTAGCTGGAATGGCCTCAAATGACCTTCATCTTGTTTGTGCAACTTAACCCAACAAAAAACATGTGCAGGTGTAACATGAATTTCCCTCCAAAATGTTATATTTATCCAAAAATTAAATATATAATGTAGGAAAAAAGACAAAATTAAGCATGCACAATACACCTATATTGTGTCACTCCTACTCCTATTTTATACTCCAAGAAAAAAATCAGCAAAAATGAATAGTTGTTGTTTCATCATTCAGTAGTCTCATTGCACAGTTTCTTCTCTGACTGGTAGCTTTCATACTTGGGAGGTAGCTACCTTAGGTGGTCCTCTTAATTTGGATTTAGTTTAAAGACACTGGGGTCAAGGTCAAGATGTCCAGTGAATTGTCTTCACACTTGTGTACAACAATCCTTAGGACAAGACTTTAACTTCACCTTGACCTGAATTTGACCTTGACACTAAAGGTCAAATTTGTGAATATCACTACAATTGGCCATAACTTTGTTATTTGTTTATTGGTTTGATTTATACTTATGACAGAACCCATATATTGATATGACCTTGATCTTTATTTGACCTTGATCATCAAGTCAAATTATTAACATTTGAATAATTGAGATTTGCTTAAATTCTCATAATTTTGTTATTTATATACAGTTTTGATTCATTCTTAGACAAAATAGCACATGTGACAAAACTGATATGGTGAAATATTCTGATATGACTTTGACCCTAATTTGATTTTGACCTTCAAGGTCAAATTATTCAAATTTGCTTAAATTGTCATAATTTTGTTATATATTTACATATTTAATTCATATTCAGACAAAAGAACACCTAAATTATTGAAATTTGCTTAAATTGTCATAACTTTGTTATTTATATACAGATTTCATTCATACTTGAACAAAAGAACACAATATGACCAAATCAACATGTTGAATTATTCTGATATGACCTTGACTTTTAATTGACCTCTACCATTAAGGTCAAATTATTGAAATTTGCATAAATATTTCATAACTTTGTTATTTACTTATAGGTTTGATAAATTTATAAAGAAAAAAGCACTTATGACAAAAAAGACATTATGATTAATTCAGGTGTAACCTTGACCTTCAAAAGACCTTTATTTCTCAAATACGAATTTTTTTTGTACAAGGAAATTATGTTTTCTGGAAGTATTGAAGTACTCTTTACTATAATATTCTTCCTCTGATGGGTTTGACTTTAGAAGAATGAAAAAGTCGAGCATGGCCCCTGCAAGGCAGTGGCTCTTGTTTTTGTTTTTTTATGAAACTAGTGGCAATACAGTGAGAAAACCTAATTTTAACATATTTTAACTCATATTGACCTGACCCAACAAGTCTGACATCACTACCCTTTAAAAGGTATCACACATCAATGAATATGACATCAGCGAAAGAATGAAGTTTTACCTCAGTGTGGTGTTAAAGCAGCCAGGACAAATCTAGCCAGCTACCCACAAAAACATTGTGAGAAGTATAACAATGAAATCAACATAAATGTTGGGTTCAGGGGTCAAAGTTCATTCTTATCATTATTGATTGAACTTTTTCTTGTTCCTAGCATAATTATATATACCATTAATCTAAAATAAGTGTTTAATCGTAAGGGTAAATTAACTAACTGTTACTCATTTCAAAAGTAATTAATGAAGCAAAAACTTCTCTCGTATACACCATCCTATGGCACGTGGAAGCAATTATGCGTGAAGTATGTAATATGTTTCGCATCTGTTTATATTTTGTTTCCTGCTTTTACTCAAGAAACTAAAAAGGGGGCATGTGTCTTACTGTTAACGGGTTTTTAAGTTGCCTAGAATCTGAGAATTAGTTGTTGGTCAGAAAATAATTAATTTGGTCAGGAAAACATGTCTTCAATGATGTTAATGTTGTTTGGAGGATTTATTTTCTTAGGGATGTCATAGTCTTAGGATTGTTCATATGATTTATGTTCTTTCTCCATTTCCTTGCCTTCAATAAAGGAACATTTGTTTACAACTCAAATTCATAACATTTCAGTTAATAATTCAATAACCAGTTGAAATGCAAATATTGATGTTATCCCTTACATATTTCATAAACTGAACATGCAAGTGTATGTTGTTAGTTTCAAAATTCTTAAAGCTTAAAATGTTTTCAGTCTAAGACTTAATAAAGCATAGTTTAGTCTAACGTGACTTAAATATTGTGGCCACCCTGGATAATCATAAAATATAAAGTCTGATATTTTCATATTTGACAATTATAAATTTTTTAGCAAATTCAAGCCAATATATTTTATAATGATATATTTAACATGAATTTATATGTTTTTATATTACAGTCAAGACTGCCTAAGCGACCCCCTGATTTAAACGACTCCCTATCTTATCCGACCTTGTTTCAGTACTCCCAACGTATTTTCCTATATAAATGGTCTGAATTAAACGACTCCCTGTCATATGCAGGGTTGTCATTAACATTTTTTGCAGAAGGTTTGTTTTGAACTTGAGGCGGTCATTTCTGTCTTTATCATGCATAACAAAGAGTGTTTTCTTAATTTTGAGGCGGCCCGTAATGCATTTGAGACAGGCATTTTGGCCTCCTGCCGCCTCTTAATCGACAACCCTGCATATGTGACAAGTGACCCTAATTGTCTGGCCCCAATGCAATGTTTGGTCTGATTTAAACGACTTTCACACCTTTTAATTGTCCGTAAATCAGATAAATAATACCTATCATAACACCCAGAGAGCAAACATGATTAAGTCCAATTATAATCCAGTAGCAAACAAAGTCTACACACCTCTATCTCAATTACACAGTTAACATGTATACGGTATCAAGTGACGTAGCAAGCATGATGCAATCGGTGTGTGTGTAATGTACATGATGGCCTGAGTAAACTGGGTTAAGACTAGTGTTAGATTTTTTTTTAATTATAGAGTGCCCACGGAAGATTTTAAAGGCAGCATTTTTTAATTTACCTTTCTATGGCTGCATAATGAATACGGAAAAAATATTGATACCAAATTGGATATGAATATGTTTAAAGATCCTGTAACACAATTTTTCATGGTTTTATTTCATAAATATGATGCTCAAATTAAGATTTGTCAATATTGTAAGTTCAAATAAGCATTTATAAAGATATCACCCAATTTAACATTTCATGTAAATAAAGGCCATTAAAGGGAGGTAATTAGAACTTTATTTTCTATAAATTCTTAGTCAAATTTTCCAATAAGAAATCAATACATGTAATTTATTGATTAAATATAATGTGCACAAATATTTGCAGTACATATTTTACATTTTCTTTGATGTTTGAAAATTGTTTTATTTGCATAATTATATCCATATATATTTTTTTTGCAAGTGTGAATTACACACGGTAACAAAATCAATCACAAAACATACAGGATCTTTAAGTCTCAATTGAATATAGACAGACAGATGATATTTAAATTTAATTTTCTTTGAGACTGTATTTAGAGACTCCCTGTCATATGTGACCTTTTTCTGAAGATCCCTTGGAAAGTCACATATGACAGTCTCGACTGTACATACAATGAACTTCTTTAACACTCATAAAATTATGTCCCATATTCAAACCAAGAAAAATAACAGAAAGCCATTAATTTTTGGTAAGGGTGATTTAAAGTTGTTAACAGAAATATTTTTACATTTTCAGGTTGTATGATATGTTTAGGAAGGTCTAACTATTTTCGGTTCAATCACCCACGGGAAGCTAGAAAGATGAAGGAAGCTATGCCAAACTGCCGTGTCTCTTGTGCCCCATTGCAGTTACTTCAAGGTCAGCTGTTTTCTTGTTTCAAACAATCAACTGTCAGTCAATGAATCAATCAACCAATCAATCAAGCAGTCAATCAATCAATCAGTCATTCAATCAATCAAGCAGTCAATCAATCAGTCATTCAATCAATCAAGCAGTCAATCAATCAGTCAGTCAGTCAAACAGTGGAAGTTTTGAAAATCAGGGGTTCAGTAGATTACTCACTGTTGAAGTAATGAACTTAAATTCTATTTCTGCATAGACATTGATGATAGCTTGAAAGTCCCTATGAATATAAAAAAGTCTATACAAATTAAAACTCATCAGAGTAAATAAACTTGAGTAACAGTATATGATAAACTGCACAGGTTTTATGGAAATATGGCAAAAACATTAAAAACACATTATTGGTAAAGAATACTTTATGTTGTATGTACAGTGCACACAACATGCAGTAAAGGGAGGTTACCCTGTCATGCTTATCTTGTGAAATGATTGTTACCTACTGTGACAGAGTTGTAAATATTTGATGTAAATATCTTATCCAGCTGAATTTATGATTATAGCAGGCTACATAGCTTTGTTCCTGCTGTTCTGAAAATATACATCAGTCTTAATGACAGTTAAACCTGTTTATAAGTCCACCTATGATTGAATACTTGTAGCTACATAATTTATAGCTAAACCTGTCTTTAAAGGCACTGCACCAATTTTCTTGCATATATCAGATAGGATATTCTACTGTCTACACTGGGTACTAGAAAAAGTCTTCTTACATCTCTAGTGAAGTACAAGTTGCGTGCTGTAAATGATGTCATTTCCTTTGTGCTTTTTATAAATGATTTGTGAGCTTAGGATGACATTATTTTGCCATTATGAATGAAGCTACTTTTTATGAAAAAAGTGCTTAATGAAAATATTTCTTTTCACAGTTTTGTTTTGAAATATTATTAAATTTATATGACTGCAATATGCAAGGATAAGAATCAAACACTGCCAGTTGTCACAGAATGGTAATTTCTAGCTCTTTGATAAATGTTTAGCCAATAATTGGCAGCTGTGAATAGTTACCCTGAAACTAGATATTTCAATTATTACCGGCATCCAGTGTGAGATTCTTATAATACAAAGCCACCCCTAGAGAACTTCCATGACCTGGTGTTGTGTGATAATCACACAGGATATATTTACTATAAGCTGGTCTAGTTATCACCCTTTCCTTTTATTACACCTTTTGTAACTTGCTGGCTCAAAATTTTGTCATTAAATTGAGACCGATTCATGTGTCTCGGTGTGTGGAAGTATTTACGCAAGTCCCTTCAACTTCGACCAAAGTTCTTCTATATATTAAAATAAAAGAAAGAAACAGAAATGACTAGAAATTGGTGATTGTTATTGTTAAGATTGATTAAAGATGTGTTGTCACTGTTTTAGACAATTTATTTCCAGTTATGTAACTTAAAGAAATACATGTTACATATTTAGATTTGTTGTGCCTAGCAGGTATATCTTTTTCCTGAGTTGTTGTCATTTACAGAAACTGAACTATTTATTGGCTAGGAAATTATTTACTTAATTTTCAGTTTAAATGAGAAGCGTTCTTTAGACATTTTTAGGTAACAAAACTTGTGTGAAAAATTTCATAGATTCATAGTTGAGACTTCCAGCCAAGTCTTTTATGAGCTGAAGCATTTATTGTTCAGTTTGTCCATACATTTAGTTTAACACTAAAGGTCACAACCTACAGTGTTGATACCTTTTATGGGTTTCATTTCTACTAGGTCAAGGTCATTGAGTCCTAAAATTAGATCTTCACATAGACTGGGGTTTAAGTGTCAAAGTGACATTAGTGAGCATCCAGTTGTTTTTAGCACATAAGATTTTCAGCCACCATGGTAGTTTTCAGTGTGACTTACTATTGTATCAAATAATATTTTATGAGAAAAAAAAAATAAAATTTAGTAGAATCGTCCTAATAATTTAGAAAAAATTAATTGCAGACTGATTTACCTAAAATATGTGTCAGTTTATTTGACCTAGAATGGTTGTTACATTATCAGCGCAGTGAATGAAAAGTTTTGGCAGCACTTAAGGCATGTTATTTATGATATTACTGGGAAAATGCTTTCTTCTTTGTGCATCATATACCACAGTGGCAATTGATCAGACCAATATTATACTAATATATCAGATCTGTTATTAGTGCTAGTATATCACAGCTGTGATATAAACCAATGAGTATGAACAGCTGTGCATATTGTTTTAAGGTATCCCTCCATCAATAGCTTGTCATAAATTGTTTCAGTGCTTAACCTTTTGGCATGCTAAGTACTATCTTAAATAGACTATAGTCAATCTTGCAATATGGACATAACCATTCATCCTTTTTGAGGAAAAAAATCAAAATATTTACTGAATGAATAGGGAGCAGGGCAGACCTAAACCATATCTTGGTCTGGACTGGCCACATGGGTTACATTTATTGCTGTCAGCACCAGGTTAAGGGTTGAGTAGCATGATGACAACAGATCTTTTTTGCAAGTTTAGATCTTCAAAGTCAGCAATTCTGTCTCTAAACTGTTGTCTACTCAGGTTTAGTTTTAGGATATTTAAATCCCTTAAAAGTATTGTGATCGAATGTGCTGCTCCAGATCCAAAGCATGGGGTTGTCTATTACACAAATTTGGTAAGGGCTTACAGATGTTTTATTTCCATCTGCTCATGTTGCAGAGGTAACATCAGTGATCTAAGAACCCAAGATTGCTAAAATAAACAAAGTAAGAAGATTTTATATAATGAGAATAAAATTTATGTTTATTCCAGAATCTTGTTTGTATAGACAAAATGTGTCTTTAATGATATGATGTAACTATTGAAATAAAGAATAGGCAGTCACTTTACGAAAATTTAAAACTGGTATTAATCAATTAGTCAACATTGAATAAATCTCATACATTTTAAAAAGTTACCTTTATTGATAAAAGACACATACAAACTGGTTATTTAAACAGATAAGATTATTGATTAACATAATTAGTAGGTTTAAAAGGAAATAAATATTTTTGTAGGTATTTATGGATGGGATACCTTAATAAAGAGTATTCTAAGCTTCTGATTCAATCAAAATGGCTCCAGGTAGTTGCTCATTACAAAACAAAAATAATTGCAATCACTTGGAATAAAGAGAAATGTCATTTTGACAGGAACAGGTTATTCTGACATGGTTATAGAGAAGTGTTTGCCAAAATGATTGCCATTCTACTAGTTCAAGCACTTTGTTCATACTGTACTTCATCATAACTGCTCTAAACTTCTATAAGCATGTTGTTGGCTTATAAAGGTAGCATGTTTGAAAATTTACCAGAGTTGAAGTCGTTTTTCAATATAAATAAGTTTTTTCTTCGAAGAGCAAAATTCAATGAAAACCTTACGAGTTCAGGAGTTGCCTCCCTTTAGTATTAGAAATTAAAAGCTGTAAGTTTGAAATTTCGTAATTATCAGAGATCAAAGTTTTCATGGTTTCAAAGACACAAATGTTATAAAAAGTTGCTTGCTTATCTATAATTCTTTTATTATTCACAAATTAAACAGTTTGTTTCTTTTCAACAGACAACAGATGGGTCAGACAAGATATAAAATTATTCTTTTTGCCTTTCATAAAGCACACAAGGCAGAGAGGCATCATTGTGACTTTCAGTAATGGGTTAACTCCTAAAAAACTCCTGTAAGATATATACAGAGTTAACCTGTTGCTGCAGAAAGGTGACAAAATCTTTAAGGAAGCCTTTTATGAATCATTATGTATAAAAATTATTAAAGTCACATAAAAACTGGTAACTAAATTAAGCAAGGTCTGAACCAAAATATTATTGTGATGGAATTTTAACTGTACCTTTAGATACTGGATAGCTATTAACTGCAGGAAGTTTCTGTTGTAGAAATTCCAGTCCATTTACATTTAATTGGCACAGGTCAAAAGGTAAATCAATTTTCTGGCTAGTTTAGTTTTTGATAGGTGGCAGAATCTGTTGGAATCAAGCCTCGAAAATTATTTATTTTTTTGTCCGTCCATTATCACAATTAGTGTCAATTTACCAACTGCTATTTTATCGGAGTGGAATGATAATTTATGTTCTTGGTAAGTAGGCAAGCAAATTTTCCGGAAATGGTTCTGAATTGTTCTACGATTTGTCCTGGAAATGGATTTTTCATACTAACTATTATTTAGATAGGGGCTACATAGATTTGTCATTAAGTTTGTATAATTATTGTAAGGTTTATTGATGAAATTTATTGTTCTAAGTTTCATTGAATGAGAACCCACACATGATGTGAACATAAAGATAAATATTGTTTAACATTTTACACTGCTAAATATCTTGAATGAACCTGGATTCATTGTTTTTAGAGAAAATTTCAAAATATGTACAGTCTCAGAATAGCATCAGATGTCACAGATGTGCCAGCACAGTTGTGTAAGGGAAGTAACTCTAGCCAATATCTATTTACTGCTTGTTTATTATTTCCCTTAACTTAAAAAAAAACAAACAAAAAAAACCCCAAAAAACTTCTGCATTCAGTATGCATGATCTAACTTTTCAGTTTAAAGGTTGTTTAAGACAAATTAATATTCTTGAAATATTGTTGGGTTTCCTGTATTTTCATTCACTTTCAAACAGAAAGATGATAGTATTATCCATTTAAAATCTAGCTGTGATAATCACTTTTTCTATAGAACACACACCAGCATTGCACTTTGATGCAGTCTCACCTGACCCTATAATAATGACGTCTGCTTAATAGTATGAGCATTTTTATCTGTGAAAATCCTTCACATTAATAAAGGACAGTTTTGAATGTATAATCAATTTATACACATAATGACTATGGTAAGATTAAAGGGACTGGAAATAAGATGAGCAGGAAGAATATGCATGTCAAGGTAAGAGAGGTTTTAAAGGTATGATAATTATGTTCATTATCCTGATAGGCCATAATGAGAGGGTTCTGAGGACTTCCCT